TTCATAAACTGATACTGTATTGTGCATACTACTGAGAATCAAAGCGACATTTTTCACTGGCATCACTGGAATTTCTATGTCGCTAACATCGCGTGTGCGGTTTGGTGAGCGCGCGACAATAAGATGAATTTTAAACTTCAAATTTGTTTACTGTACATCATTTCCGCATTCGCCCTTTTAAGATAACACTTCTGAAATTTGAGTTTGACCACCAGCACCAAATTTTCAGGGTTGGCAATAGAGTTCTCTACAACCGTTAGTATTAGCATAGAGGTAACTCTAAGACTAGAAGGTCCCGAAATAACGTGCTCAACTTTTTGGCTCAGCTCTGGTACTTCGGTACTTCGGTCCCAAGCTAGTCGATTCACCCCTCGAAACATAGGAAAATCCACTAACCCCTCATTTTAATTGTCAAACTTTCATAGCGAATCAAAACAAACATTGTGTAGTAGTAGAATTTCGACTAGAATGGGGTACGTTAATCGTTTGCTTGGGACCAATAGGCTAGTCAAGTAGTGAGCCAATTTAAAATCATTAGTTTCGTATTGATTGTTGGTATTAGTGAGAAGTTTCACTAATACATGCATTTTACTGGTTGAAAATAAAAAACAAACCGCTGTCAAGTCGAACACTTTGACAGCTGATTTCGTGGTTGAAAATAATAAACAAAGCGATTTTACAGGGCTGCACCTAGCTAGGTTGTATAAGTGAGATGTTGCGTCGAGAAGTCAATATACCGGAGCTGTCAAGTTGCCCCCGAGTTGGGTATGCACCAAAACGGTTACCGCCTGTGGGACAAGAAGTCAAGACAAAAAAAATATTTGCTCGTGACGTGAAGTTTCATGAAACCTGTTTTCCTTACGAAGTTGTATGGCTTTCATTTGGAATATGTAGGAACCCGATTTAATACCAGAACGTGTCGATTCATGTTGACATGACTTATTCTTCTGGCAATCTGGTTACTAAATTTTAGGATTGAGCCACTATTTGAAACGTATGACCATCTATTTTCGAAAGGAACAGATAAGAAACTGATAAAGCCTGTCAGTGCGGGAAAACTCGTGAGAGGTGGCTCTGCGGAAATTCAGATTTACCAGCAAAATGATCAATTCCTGAAAGTAGGGCTAGAGATCCGCGATTTTTTATAAATTGCATACAATCATGAGCATAGAGGAAATATGCCACCACCATATTGATCCTGCTATCGGGTGGCAAGAAAACGTTTCTCTAGATATCCGAAATTTCCGGCAAAATTTCCAATTCCTGAAAGTATCACTCACAAAATTGCACACGTCATCATCATGTGTCTCACACTTAATTTTGCGCTTATTGTGAAACACATCCATTTCATGTGTGAATCTTATGCTATGAACCATGCCTGAACACTATGGATTTGAATTGTGACACACTTGGATTCTATGTGCCTCATATGGTGATATCAATAGCTTTGCACATCATAGTTCAATATTCTACAATATTCTACCACAGACAAAATTCTACTTTATCGACTTCTACTTTACCGACTCTAAAAATGAATCGACAAATATATAAACAAATTTCAGAGGCCAGAGCTTTCACATATCTTTTTAATGGGTCTGATTTGGGATTCGATCATGAACTGTTGGGGTAAGCTGCTGTCGGAGTCTTCGTTCGATCTCACTGTGCCACGGTTGTTCTCATATATGAGGCGGGTTGATAGGATAAAGTCATAACTCTTGTTTTCGATGTTTACCTTTCTGAGCAAGCAATTCACATCGTATTGAAATGCAAAACACTTTAAATCCATCTGTTTTGAACAGTAGTGTGATTCAATGTGCAATACACTTGTATAGATAGTGAAAGATTTTCAACTTTTCAAAGTTTGAAACACTAGACATTAACGTGTATAACACATTGAACTAAGGTGAAATACACTTAAAGTAAATGCGATTGTGCATTTAAAAAATCAAGTGTTTAAACACTTCGATCAAACGTGTGGAATTTTTTGAGGCTGTGAACCATTTGCCGAGTTAAATTTAACTCGTGGTTAAAAGTGACATTTCGAAAGTTATTTTCTATGTTCGAAAATCCCCGTGCTGTCGATCGACCGGTTTTCGAGCCACAGTTGTCAAAATTTAACTTCTTGTCTGTCAGAAGTAACCACGCTCGGATAGCAGGGTTAATCGATAACTTTCCATCTGTCAAATTTTAACCAAAAGTTAAAATAATTCGCCAAATGGCCTGAGTGTAGTAACATTTCGTGTGAATCTTCGATGGATACGATGACGCAGCTGTGATGTCCGACTATACGCGTTCCTGAATGGCTTGCATAAGTACACTCCGGATCATAAGTTTTAAACTTATGATCCGGAGTGTACTTATGCAAGACACCCCCAAAAAAACATGACACATTTGTTATGTTCATATCTCTATCATGTTACGTCCAATTTTCGTTCTCTTTAGACGATAGATTTGAAAGGTATTGAATGGAACTTTCCTCGTAAGCAAATTGTTCAATATAATTTTCAAAATTAGTGTGCTATAGTTACACCCAAAGTTACAATATTTTCCAAAATTTACTCTGAAGAATCGTGACTGATATTCTCAGAATTGGGTTAGCCAAGTTTTGAAATAAAAGTAGTAGTAGAACACTTATGCTGTACTATTCATACCATTCAAATAACCTTTGGATATCGAAAATTTAACGTAAAACGAGAGATCATTGAACAAAACATATTTGCATGGTTTTTTTGGGGGTGTCCTTAAACTTATGATCGGTAGTGTAGGTCCATACACTGAAAAAAGTTTTCACTTAGTTTCTATTAGAAACGCACATAGTATTTATCCATAAACAAAAACAATGATCATAGCATTAGAAATTCTATATGAGAAATCATAGAGATTTCATTGGACACATAACGTTCATTTGATTTAGTGGTGTAATTTCCAATTATGGGATCACATGAAAGTTATGTGAAATTCACATGGATATTTTCTACTGGTTATGTGATTTATTTTATGAGTGTAGTTCGTCGAACCAAGGTCCGACTAGACGGCGATTGTTTCATCTGGTTTGCCGATTCAACTCGTTTTTAGCGTGCATATCATTACGCATGCTTAATGGTGTTCCGAAAGTGAGGATAACTAATGGTGTATTCAGATCTGATCGAGCATTAGGGGAGCGGAGAAAAATTTACGTTGGCATGAGAGAGACAACTAATACTTTTCTCCCTCTCTTACCTTTGTAAAATCTCGCCCCGTGGGTGAAATATCGCTAAGGATGGAATTCACCTTAAATATACCTCATTTTTTTAAGGAGGCTAAAGATCCGGGAGTGGAGGTGGATCTGCCACGCTCTATGGAGGGGAGGATATCTGCAATCAAGCGCTATATTGGAATCCGGAAGGACATCTCAGCAGAGGCATACCCAGGGGCTCATGGCGGCGGAGCCTGAACAAGGGAATCTAGCAAGTCCTTCAGCCCCGTAACGTGGGTAGATCACCTTTTCGTGGTACGTTACGGGATGCAAGATCTATCGCCGAATCCTAGACTGCTTCAAACTAGGGAAATAGGATTTTTCAGTAATCAAAGGAACGCATTTTAGTTCTTGTTACTTTTTTTTATGCCTTGTTGATAGTGACAATACTCGGCTTTGTTCACCGAGGATGAACTTGAAACAAGGAAAAAATGAGTTGTTAGTCTTCATCTATGTGATTCCTAATCTACTATTCGCTGTTCCCTAGTTTGAAGCGGTTAAGACTAGGGTTCTGATGCATGGTCTGTCATTGCTCATTTTTGTTGCTAAGGAAACCAATTTTGTCTGAAAAAGGGGCGTGCCTTTGGAGGGTGCTCTCCCTCTTTGAAGGGTATAAATAGCGGGGCCTTTCAATTAGAATCTATTCCTTGCGGTGAAGGCAAGAATGACAGCTGTAGCAAAACGGAATATACTTCATCATTTCTCAATAGTGATGGAGAAATACGACATGCACTACACTAAGGACACGGGATATGCTACAATAGATCAAATTACTGGTCGCAGTGGTTTTATGTCCCGAACAGAGGAAAAAAAAAAAATCTCCCAGAATGGGCCATTTGCACCACTGAAGGTGCCTTAGATGACGTAGCATATTTTTGATCAATTTTAGACCTCCCCCTCCGCCTCTTAGTGTATTTTGCTATACCTAATACGTGGCCACAATTTCTGAGACCCCTCCTACTCCTTCATCATTTGTGGCTGGTCCCTAAGTAAAGGCTCGGAAGGTCAACAAACTCTGTGGTAGAAAACGTGATCATGCCAGTTAATTCATAGAGATATTTTAATTCATATTTTTTTTTACAGCTCAGAGAACTAGTTTTCAAGGTGGTGTTAGAATTAAAAAAATTTAAAATGGATTTTCTCCTGTTTCTTCTTCTTATTCGGCTATTACGTACTTACTGGAACATAACGTCAGCTCTAAGATAAGTGTTCTCGTTAAGCAATTCCACAGTTGTTAATTGAGAGCTCTAAGCCTATACCATTTTTGAAGGAGTCTATTGTGTACCATATGTACATTGATATCCAACCGAAACAAATTCTAGTCCGGAACCGGGAATTGAACCCAGTCACCTCCAGCATGATTTTGCATTATTACTGTGCCTTTACAGATTGAGCTAAAGGAGGCCCATTTTGTTTCCGCCAGCTATAAGGCTTGAATCGTGGCCAAAGCAGAGCCTTCAGTTTTAAATGCTGACTTGTGTTCAACCTGTAAACACGGTAACTCCAAATGTTGAACGTAAGTAGGTACGCGTGCATTTTTGTAACGAAAAAATTGGATCAGCTTGAATAAGGAATAGCTATGCTTAACGAAGAATTGCGCCTCAATTTCTCTTAGGACAACAACATCGTTCTAGGTTGTTTATTCTGATATAATGGGACTTCCCTCCTCCGGTATTTTAGATATTCCGGTAATCTCGACGAAATCATTGACGACTCGAAGGCTTTCGGATAAATGAATGTTTCCATTTTCATCGATTTGATATGAGAAAAAAATCATCAATCATCGTTTAATTTCGCATTGTCATTGTTTGTTTTCGCTTGCATGTCTGCCTAATAGCGATACGATCACATTCGGTAATAAGAGACGCTGGCTTACGAACTAACGATCTTAAACGGAGAGACGGGGTGGGGGGAGGTATTAAAACAGAAAGCTAAAAACACCCCTTACGGTTGGGTTACGTTTGAGTACTTGGATGGGAATTGAGTTAAATTTTAATATTGGTTAATATTGCTTACCGTTCTGCTTTTCGAGACTAACTACAAAGGGGCTTACTGTTTCAAACCACATAATAAATAGATTAGCTGATTAACGTATACATATATGTTTGCATTACTGTAACGAAACTATTTTTGTTTCTATGTTTGGGTAAAAATATCCGAAAAAATTATAAATACAGCTTGTCTTTTGTCAGCGAAGGCATGATAAAAATGTCCTAAAAAGTAGCCATTATAAAATTGTATAAAAAATGGGATTAAGATTCCTAACACAGAAATGCACGTTTGAGTCCTATAACAAGCTAAAATTTTCCGAGTTTTAAATACTTCAGTCACAATTTGCTTCAGTTGTCCTTGAAAGCTCAACTCGATTTGTTTTGTGGAGTCTTTCAAGGCGAAGGCACTGCATATTGGTGCATATTGTCTTAATTTGTTCGATTTGTAAAATGTTCTACCTAAGAGCTAATGATGGCCTTAAACCGATGTTTGCGTGTGTGTGTGTGTGTTAAAAAAATCGAATGCACGTGTGATTGTTTTGCTGATGTTCATCCTTTTGGTGGACGGTGCGCGCCTGATGGGGTTTACACACGCTAGAACATGGTTGTACGGTTTGATTTTACGAGAGGCGATGTCCAAGTTTTTTTTTCAACTGGCTTCAGTATGCGTAGGCGAGTTGCACAATCAGGACATGAATAGGTTGGGCAACAGCTTGTATTGTGTGTTGGGAAATTGCAGAAACCTCTTCAGGTTGAAAATCGAGACATGCAAGATTTGCAAGGTTGTAGCGTGTGTAGGCCCCATGAGTTACCTAAACAGCCTGCCACCCATCAGAGTCAGGTGTGCGCTTCTCCTTCGTCTCCGCGCGCAAGTGCACACACCATTGCTTCCGCCGCCGCCGCATTCGACGCCATTGCCGCTCTCTCAGCCACTCCCGCGGTCAAAGAGGTTGGACCCCGCCTTACGCGGCGTTGTCCATTGGGCCCGGCACCGAACTTTGAACAACTGAAGGCGCGAGATCATTCGCAGTAGCTCTTCAGCTCGGCGAAGGAACAGCTCTTTTTGCAGCATTCATCGTAGATTCCGGCGCGGCGAACCCGTCGGTGAGCCGTCGATCGGGAGTACGGAAAACCGTGGTTACCGCTGTCCGGCAGGGTAGCCACTTCAACTTCGACCTGCGACTGAGGCTGATCGGAGAGGTATTCTGTAAAGAGGGAGAAAGGTTAGGATTAGTTGTACAAACTTTGTGTACGTGACTTATAGTACCTGATCGATGATGGCTCATCATTGGGTAGCGTCCTTGACAGAGCATTGCCAACGTTTCTGTCAACTTTCGGCCACAGTACCGGGATCGGGTCATGTGATGTAGCAGTCCGTCTCCGTTGCTACCAGTACTGGTCGGGGCAGGCAAGGGTGACGCGTGGATTCGATTTACGAAAAGCGAACACAGCGTCACCTGCATCACAATCATCAGCATGGTACTGCATAGGTTGATTGAAGCGGATCGCATCTGAAATAATGACCGAGATAAGAGAGAGAACTTTATTAGATTATGGAGTATGCTACTGTGAAGGTAATTCAGATCGGAAGGGTCAAACTTTGATTTACGACTGGTTTAGGATTGGCCCGGCACAGAGTCTGTCCAAAATAAAGAATGAATCCAAAACCAATGTTTATTTACATGACAATCGTGAAGGTGAATATCTAACCCTGAGTCATTCGGTGCGGAACTTAAAAATAACATCCCGGAATCAACAGATCAACTCTTCTCGAAGAGTACAAACAACGAACCTTTCGATTCGTTATTGAAAGAACGATTACCCCTCGTCGTATGGCAAGATCATTCAAAAAGGGAAAGACGTGCCCTAGCCAATGGACCGTGCTAACGAGAAGCATTGAAATCACTCGTTCGACGCGTGATCAGTCGTCGCTTGTTGGTGAGGAAAAGTAGGCGAGACGGGAAGGCACTCGTTGGGTTGTTTACACATGGTGACAACGACGACTACGACTACGACGGCCGGCGGCGCGGGGTGTGTATGCAACACAGCCTATGTAGATAGACAACGTCAACATGAAAACATAGGTGGTTTGTTTTTGAAAACTGACTGTCTACGCGCGTGTGTGTGTGTGGGTGCAGAGGTGAAAAAATAACAAAACAAAAACAAACACAGCCGAATGCTGCAGCTTGGTCAAAGTGAGGTTTTCAGCGCACGTAATACCACCGACCGGATCGAACTGTGTGCTACGAGTGCATCCGGTAGGGTTACCATTGTACTATGGATGGGATCTATATTAGATTTTCACTTATCAAGTATTTTCAAATACGATAGGTAGCTGTATAGCGTTTGTAAAACGTTTAATAAGCATCAGATGAGTAAAGAAGGCAATTTAGTTGGCCAAACTGGCTTTGAAAAGGCCTAAAAAGGCCTTAGCAACGGACAAGAAAGTATTTGAGTACAAGAGCGGATTGATTGGTTTTGAGCCAAACGAACTGTCAAAGCTACACACTATGAAAAATTCATGCAAATTTCGGTTCCCTGAGACCGATACATGTATGCGGCCCTTTTGACATAAGAATCAGTTGAAAGAAACAAGAAAATCTATTCAATCAAACGTTCCCTTCGTCGAATTGCTTATGTTTCGGTTTGAGAACACTTAATTTTACATGAAATGTTTGTTTACGTTCCATGATTTACGTCCAATATGGATTACGTCTCGTGTAAAAGTAGTTATTTTTAAGTGTGGAGAGCCAATCGAGCAGTGCCTATCTTGATTGCATTGGCAGTGCTTGTTAGAAATCACCTAGGCATAGGTTGCCAAGCCAGTTTGCTTGAATCCGCCCAGCTCTTTTACCAGACCGTCTGTAGTAATTCAGCCAAAGGTTGAAAGCCTATTTAATAAAGAAAACTAACTAACTAACCTCTCTAGAAATTATAACTTACAAAAAAGCATTAAAATGTAATTGATCTAATTTATTTTTAAAAAGGGTGATTTTTAAGCAACCTGTAAATATCGCGTTTATGAGATATCGATGTGATTTGTGGAGCAAAATGTGCATAACAAGAAGTATTAAAGTCGGTTCTATGAATTCACATTCACAAAAAATTGAAACACCCTAGATCAATTCAGAAAAATTGTTCTAAAATGAGAGCATTAAGAGATAGAAATATGGATAAATTTACTTGAAATCAAAGCTGCAACTTTGCCAAAGTGCATTTTTTATCTTATTTCAAAAACAAGAAAGTTAGTTTTTGAATATCCATTAATTTGAGGACGAAACAGCCCCTTCTTTTGGCCGTTTTTATTAATTATATAAAAATGGTCAGAAGAAGGAGAACAATGTGCAAAAAAATCACCGAAAACACCAAGCGTCTGAAACTAAAAACGAATTCACTAGTCTATTGTCTTGACACTAGGAAATTGACAAAAATCGTAAAGCAAGAACTTTTGTTGTTTCTATTTTTATAGAACTCTATTGAATGTCATCTCGATTGAACGTTTGGTTCCGGAGATATGTCCAAAATAGTGAAACTCTCAAGCAACATTGCAAGTTTTATTGAGGTTTTAAAGCACTCTACAAGTCTAACTCATGGTCTGCAGAACCCTCATAAAACCCGAATTTTTACATGCACTAAATCAGTAATGCTCGCTCATTTTTATTGGCGATGGCTTGACCGATCTGTGTGCAACCAGTTACATTAAGCAAGTATCTATTTCTTATAGAACCCTATTGAATGTCATCCCGATCGAGATATGGTCAAAATATTGAAATTATGCAAGTAATCAATAATACTCATTTTTTAGTGTGTTGATTTAATTCCATTTAATTCCGTTATAATTGCTTATCTTTTGACAGATACGCATATTTCGTCTGCTACTTTCAGACTTCATTAGTGCCAAGTATTGAACACCACTAATAATACTGACTCACTTTTTCCGGCGATGGTTGTACCAATTTGAGTCTAACCAATTCCATTTTGTATCTACACCCAACCGGTGGATGTAAGATTCGTTTACAATTATGTGGGATTCATAATCAGAGGATGTTAGTGGAGACCGCATGAACCGAGGATGCGATATACCTAGCTGCGGTCCAATGCAAGAAAATTGGAGACCGAAAAATGTAGAGTGTATTAGTGAGGTAAATTTATTGTGTTGAAAAAAAATAGGAATTTGGTTGCCGACTGGACTCGAACCACGAACGTTGCGATTATCAGACCCGTGCTTTCTCCACTGCTCTCTCCATGCTCCTGAATATGGATAGCCTAAAAGCAAATATGAAGCGCTCATTTTCTCGCATGCTCGACTTCGTATGCTTTTTCTGCTGGAGAGATTCGAGACAAGACAAGTGTGTGCGTCGTTCTACAAGCTTACTGGTATAGTCGAAAGCGTAGATGGAACACGAAATAAAAATGCTCGACTTCGTATGCTTTTTCTGCTGGAGAGATTCGAGACAAGTGTGTGCGTCGTTCTACAATGTTCTACAATGTGCGTCGTTCTACAAGCTTACTGGTATAGTCGAAATATCCACGCTAACACGAAATAAAAAAAGACAAAAAACCATTACATCGCTTGCATGGTCAATTCCTAACATTCGTTGCGATGTTCATGAACAGAGGATGATAGGAAACGGAACTAACATTTATTGTAATAGATTTTTGGTTTGCGTGTACCTCCCATACAACCGCAATGATTTGCCGATTGGATATTTAGTTCCGGAGATTTAAGCAAAATATTGAAATTTTGAAATAAATCAGTAATACTCACCAGTACTTTGACTATATGTTTTGTATTACTTCTGCGTGAAGTCAACGATTTACATAGTTGAAGATGCTAATTTCAAATAATAGACTAAAGTGGTAATTTTTATACGATAGATGAGGAGATGAAAGTATAGAGTTGATAGTTCCGTTTGAGTACGGCAGTGTGAAGATTGCATATAGATATCGGTAGAACTGTTTCAAACACGCAGTTGGTACTTGAGCGGTCGGTTCTGCCAGTGGTGGCCCCTCACCATCCCTCTCCAAAGGGGGAGTTTGGTAAAGAGAGATGAAAAAATCGATTTGTACCTTCCTTAAAAGTTGTCCTAGCTCGCTATTCTAATATCTATATGCAATCTTCACACTGCCGTAATCTAACGGAACTATCAACTTTATACTTTCATCTCCTCATCTATCGTATAAAAATTACCACTTTAGTTTGTTATTTGAAATTAGCATCGTCAACTAATACTAACACGCTTTTCTCGGTGATGACTCAATAGATTTGAGTGCAACTGAATCCATTTTGTTTGTGACTATCTCCCATAGAACCTCACTGAATTGCTTCCTGTTCGAGTATTTGGTTCCGGAGATATAGCTAAAAAAAAATTGTAATTTTCCATCAACCAACCTGGCTGAACCGATTTGAGAGCAACTGGTTCCATTTTGTTTATCTACCTCCCTTAGAATTTCCAATCGGACATTTGGTTCCGGAGATATGACCAGTGAACAGTGCACAGTGAACTGAACCTACCCAAAAGATTCCGGGGGGGGGGGGGGTGGGTACTGCGTTGGGAGTGACAAGTTGACAAATGAACAACGTTGATCGGTTTCATGTCGATGTTTCAACATGTCACTATCACTACCACTACCATAGTTTACCCATTTTTGGGTTGGTTCAATTCTACTCAAATTTGGGTTCTTCTAAAATAGTGTGTACAAAAACAATTACGGCTATATGAGCAGGAATTAATATCTCAATACCTTAAATTGGTATGGATGCGCCTGCCATCCCGAGCAGGAGGAAATAACTAATGAATACCTAATTCTGATCTGATACCAAAATTTTGTATTGACCAGCATGGCATAAGAGGTGAAATACTAAAGAATAATACCAAAAAGATACATGCCAAATACTTTGAAAATAACAAAAGGTGATATGTGGATACCAAAAGAATACCTGTTTGGTATTGTTTTGGTATTGAATTATCATAATTTGGTATTGGAATGGTATTGTAGGAACATTTTTTTTGATATTTTACCTCTTATGGCTCATCCATACCAATTTGAGGTATCGAGGTATTCGTTCCTGCTTGGAGGCGAACCAGCCCAAGGCTGAAAGCCTCCCTAATAAAGATAAATAATAATAATAATATTCGTTCATGCTTGGGATACCAAGGTATTATTCTTTGGTATTTTTCCTCATGCTGATCGAAACCAAATTTTGGTATCATATCAGAACTAGGTACTCATTAGTTATTTTCTAATGCTTGCGTTTTGGGAGTTTGCTTTTGAAAGAATGTGTAGCCGGCTCTGAATTAATGTTCGGAAGTCTGACTTCCGGTTTCCGAACCTATTTCCGAGTTTTACGGAAATCATGACTTAAAGATTAGTGGCGCCGGTGGTGTAGTGGTAAGCGTGATTACTTCTCACCCCAGCAGGCCTGGGTTCAATCCCAGTCGGCGCCGCCGGGATGTTCTGAGGAATAACATCTCTGATCAAGGGAAGTAAAGCCGTTGGTCCCCGGTTC